ACCTGCTACGAGTACTATGTCTGGACGTTTAGCTTTCTGAATAAGTTCAGAGAGCTTTCTGTAAAATTCATCTTTCACTTCATCCGGGCTGCAGTCAGTGGGAGCGTAGGCAGAAACGACAAAAAGGCAACGACGTGTGTACCTATCCTTCCGCGTTCTTACGGAGCCGTTTAGCCGAACAGCGCATAGACGACTGTTAACGGGGATCCACTCTAATAGCGCTTGTTCCGCCCTCATGCTTAGTGCTATGCCTACACCTGCCAGTCCACGAGAACTAGTCATCGGGTCGCCAGATACACAGAGGGTGTATCTCGTTGGCTCTCCATTTTGCCGAGGTGAGGTTAAGTAAATGACCACACTAGGATCCTGTATGCGTGTTTCAGAGACACAGCATACATCAATTGTACGAGATTCTAGGGTTTTAGCCAAGGAGACCTACTGACCGATTTCACATAGTGTGCGTACGTTGAAGGCTCCAATGTGTAGTTTGGAACGAGGTTTCAGTAGACCTGGGGCAGTGTTTTGCGCACTACAATGATTGATGTGGAAACGAAGGATCAATCAAGTCTGGTACGATTGATTGACATCTTACAAATGAATTATTTAGTGTATGGTTGTCATCACCTGTGTTCTCGTTTACTGTAGTACTATAAAAGGCAACATTGATCAAGTGACTTTGTAATCAACAAACATATAATATTAGGTTGTAACCAATTAATAAGAATTATTTTGTAAATAAAGACACATGATACTTCACGTGAGACCCATGAAAATCGGTCCCAGTTCATAGTGAGCAAACCATACAGGTTTCTTCACGTTTCTCTAAGCTGCCCTTAGATTTATATAAGTTTGAGTGCACTGTAGCTACTAAAACATGTTTAAGTAATAAAGTTTTTGACATTGCGATTACTTTCTTGGTGAAGAACAAGTGGGTTTTTATTTTTTAATTAATCTTTAGCTTACCGGATAGCCACTGTTTCTACTGGGCGTAAATATGGTAGAGATAAACAGTATACATTGTGAGTAATGTGTTAAGATGATGGGAATCGGCTATCATTACTAATATTGTATTAGTAATGGTGCGGAGACTCAGAACATTTCATATTATGATTATACCTTTAGTACTAGTTATTAGTTTCCCGTGTCGTAAACAAATAACAACTATCAGATACTGATTTTTTTACATCCCAACTATCGATATATGTACCGAGACAATCATAAAACATGGACCAACAACCAGTTTAATTTGACGGAATAAGCCGTTAATGATGGGTGCAGAAATCTGATTAGCTCACCATGTGAGGTTTGTCCTATGTTGCTTAGAAAGAATATCAAAGCTTCACGATTAAACCACCCAGTTAAACGCAAACTCGCCAAAATGTCATATTTTAAATATGTGCGATCTAGCGACACCATCTAGTTGTTCAAACCGAAGTAGATTTAACAGAATTTAAGACTCTAGCCTACCAGTTGGGAACCACATGCTTTCGCCGTTAACATACGTCCCCCACTAACTGACACCCAAAGCTGATATGATTTATATTTTAAGATTGAGACCATTGACACAGATACATTTACTGCTGTACCTTGTACCTAAGGTGGAAATTCGTCTTCAATTTCAATTGGAGAAAAAATATTGATGTTCATTTCAAGTTATCTTGTGATGTTTATTGTTCAGGTGGATAGTAGCTTGAGAATCGTGTGTACAAACGATCGCAATCATCTGAATAGCGGATCAAAGGGGGCCGAAAACCATTGTTTTCGATCATCTGCAGTCTTCGCAGCTCTCAAATACTCGATTAAGTCAACTTCCTCACCGAATAAGCGACATCATAAAATGACTTCTGTCGACATTACTTTCGATTGATGTGTTCAATCAGTCCTAGAACTTTTCATAAAGTTACCGGGTACAAAAATTGTTTCTATAATCATACTTAGTTTAGATTCTCGAATCAGTAATTCAAAAAACCACTGGTCTCGTTTCAGATTTCAAGTTTAGTTTTCTTAAATTTTTAATTCTATCTAGATTTTCAATAAAGTTGACAGCAGTTCAATCAAATAAATTGTCAGAAAATATTACTGTTTGGGATTGTTTGCATTTACGCATTATTGCTCCACCGGTGTTCGAACGTTTATTCTCTCCTAATATTTGTCGTGCTTACGACAGGTTATTTCGATTTCTATTCGCTATCCGTCGAACACAATTGAAATTACAACAGTTTTGGGCTGATCAGATTCTTTTGTGGCGTCGTACCTCTGCTCGTAATCAGTTCAATGTAAATTATGATCAAACACCACCAACCAACGTTTTTATTAAATTGCAATCCTGTATAGGTCGACGCCTTCTAGTTCGTAGTCATATGGCATTTATTATTGAGAGTTTACAGTATTATTTACAGGTTGGTTTACTATCATATTTGGGAAAGGGGACCTTCATTGTCAGTTTAAAATTTACTGGTCGAATATTATTTGTTTCCTATTAGTGTTATGATTATTCACAAAAGTCACATATCATCTGTACTGTTTATGTCTAGATAATTCAAATTGTTACTCGTATTCATACACTTTGAAAATGGTCGAAATCACATAAGCGTATTGGAAGCAAGAAAAGTATAGTAATATTTGACTTGTATTCAGATTACCTGGTCAAACCAAGCAATATGTTAATGAATTAAACTAGAAAAATTTGTGAACGCGTAATCTGAATAGATATTAGCCTCATAGGATTAATACAATAAAGTGACCAAGCAAATGTAAAACCAGTCAAATATATACAATAACGTACATAAATATGAGTCCAGAATTTGTTGTATGATCAGAATTGACCAGGAAATGTTTTACCTTTTATGGTGTAGGAAAACATCAAATTATCTAGTGTTTTTTTGTTAGTAGATGATATTCTCATGTGCCAAGTCTTCAGTAACATTTTTTCAATTCATATTAACTCACTAATCTTTGGTACTATATCCGATTTGTTGCTTCCGTATTTCGTTTGCAACTGGTGTATAAGCAGTATTCCTACTGAAATTTTGACGGCTTAGATACCTCATATCTCTCCAATTGCACGGGTGATTATTGTTGCTTATTAATTGTCTGATCTATCTAGTTCCATTTTCAAATACATTTGATAGTCCAGTATGTATTTTTATTTTTCCCGGTGTAGGAATATGTTAAATAAAAGGTAAGAGTGACCAAATCAAGGCACAACGTCAATCTAAAATGTTCTTGACTTGGATTGAGCCATAGTGTTAGGCCTAAGGTGTGTGATTTGAATTCATGTAACCATTATCGTTAATGATTAGAGAAGTTGGGTTAAATGGATCAGAATCGTTCGGGAAGACTAAATGCATTCATTCTTTGTTTTCCACTACCACTACACAGTCAATAGTACTAGTAACACTTGTGAGTCATAGTTCTCATTGCATACATACAACCAGTAATTAGTAGAATGAATAAAGAAATAAATGCAAACTGGATTGAATATATTAAATTGGGTTATCCACACTTGCCTTAAGGATGAATCGGCATACATTCCCTGGTACTATCACTATTTTTCCAGAATATTCACACTTTATTTCCTTCTCTTCCTCACAGGTCGATGTAATTGAAGCACAATTCTCACACTTACTTAACCGTTTACATAGTGATCAAGAAATTCGATTAATTCAGATCGCACATGAAGCTTACCTGGCTGCTTTACAAGCACAAGCATTATTGTTCATGCCGAATATAAAATTATGTATATTACAGTTGTTAAATTATTGCTGTCAATTTGTAGATTTATCAAATCAACAACATTACAATGATCATTTAATGAATGTAGATGAGGACCATAATCACCAATTGTCTAATGAAGTACAAGAGATGGTAAATAAATTTTATACTCAAGCAAAATTATTGTATGATTTATTAAATATTTCTTGTTTAACCGGTGCTAAAAGTAGTGTTGGTTTCAATTCTGGCTATACTGTTGTTAATGATCGTCGAGACTTCGAATCGCTATCGTTACCTGGTATTACTACTACTATTACTAACGGTCCTATTTATTCAGACAAAACAGATTTAAATCAGTTATTGTTACGGTTAGATTTTAATCATTTTTATAGTGATTCACCGGAAAATTTAATCTAATTATTGTTGTCGACTGGTGATAGGTCTGTAGATTGTTTTTTCTGTAACTTTTATTTACCCTTTTAAATATTGCATTTATTTATAAAATTATTAATTGATTTCTTTTCATGGGATCGTATATATGGTGATTGTTAAAAAACCATACAAATAGAACATAATTTTATTCCTTTAAACTATCTTTCCTTTTTAAACCATTTTACTGTAGAAAAATATTAGTGTAATTGTCTGTAGATTGCTGACTTTATTCTTATAATAGAAATGATATATATATATATATATTTAACAAGTAATTGTTCTTTGTAATAATTTTCAAACGCTTGTAAGAAAGAATTTATTTTTGGAAAAAAAATTGATCGATGAAATCGATTTCTCAAAGGATAAAATCACGACATCTAAGTAATATGATGATGACAGTGTAATAGCTCGATAGATAGACAATTTACTACAACCACTAATAGTAAAATAAAATCAATGACTTTTGGCAGACGACAAAGTTTGAGAAATAAAAACAAGTCATCATTCATATGGTTAGATACAGAAAAGTACAATTGAAAAAATAAACAAGATTTCTAAAATATAGTAAGCATACACATTATTATTATCATCTATTGCAGAGTTGTACCCATGCTTCACAAAAATAATGGGCCGTTTCATGCTTTTTTGTCCTTAGTTTTCTTCTGATAAAGAACAGAATCTTTACATTATTTTATTGGTTTTTTAATTAATTATTATAGTCATTATTGTTATCTATCACACTGATTAATGTCAGTTTACAATAAAAAGAAACAACAAAATTAGTTAATAATAGTAATCAAATGTGAATTGCTGCAATTAACAAGAAATGTAATATTATGGGATTAATTAATTTTTTATGACCATTTCTCCCAATCATCAATCTAAAATTAAATTTAGATACAAATAATTATGATTAGCAGATTACTGTCGATATACATATGTATGATTCATTGAACAGTAAGTGATAATGAGTGGGATAAAATAAAATGCCTTAAGCGTTAAATACAAAGTTAAGGACAGGGTAGTTTACTTTATGGATTCGGTTTAACTAAAATATGATGTGAATCATAACTAACATAAACAAATGATTACTGGCGAAACTAAATCGATTAGTTAAATGCTCGATGAATGTACTATTAGTGTAAGGTTTAGATTGTAGGATTTAGACAAACATTGGAAACAAAAAAAACTGCTTCGCCATAGTCCTTACACGCATTAGTGACAAACTTCGAGCGTTTATTCCTGGAATTCTAATGAGAAGCCATGGCCAGCATATTTCAGTCATGTCGAGTGTTACTTAACAATGACATCACAGGATGGGCAATATAAGGAATAAACTGAGTTTACAAATTTAATTTCTGTTATTACGACCTAGCTACTCCCATTGCTTGATATTCTTGGACACTACTTCTCTCGACAAGTCCCCAAATCAGAACACGATTGCATAGGAACGTTATTATATTCCAAATAAAAATGGTTAGATGGAAGTAGGGATCACAATAGGAGAAACGTTAGTATATTTATAATTTTTATATGAGATCCTGAAGTCTTCTCCAAGTCTCCGCTAGCGCTGGTTGGTAAAGCAATAGCTAATCAGCGTGCCTCAACACAATCTATATACCTCTAGCAATGTTAAAGAACAGCTAGGACACTTGAAGGTCCTCAATTCGACTCCTGGTGGAGTTGTGGATGCACACTACTATGAAATTACACAATACTTAGTTTTCAACAGTTGTCTAAGTAAGATCAGTTTGTGATGAAAATTTCAATGAATCTATCCATCTCCATAAACTAAACGAACCACAACTCCACTATTATTCTATAACATTATATGACCAAAGGGCAAATTCAATTAAACACACAAACCCGAAAGAAAATAGTAGAAAAACGAATCCAATTTTTGAGAATAATCATAGTAACCAACAGAGTAAAACAATTTTCTCGCTTGAAAAAAAATGAATTACAAACCTCATCAGTTAATTGTAGCTCAGAATTCTTAATAGTGACAGCCTCTTGATTATTATTATCTTCAGCGGACTTCTTATTGGTTTTATCCATTGAGTAATTTTTACGTTCATTCTCGGAATCACTCCAAGCTTCATCATCTGAAATTACAAATATTACAAACAAAATATATGGAAAATTTTTTCCAAGACTCATTTACCAAGTGTATAAGTTCGTGTAGTTCGCTTTGAGTTACATTCTAAGTGTGAGAGATACCGATAATACCACTTACGTATTGGTTGAAATTCAAACAACTTAATCATTGAGCTTCCCTAAAACTCTTGGTTTGGTTCAGTCACTCCTTGATATATTTCGACCTGTCGTCCTTAAACCTCGTTAATTTAGTCTAAATGTTGAAGAATTGCGGAAAATGGGACGAACAAAATAACCTGTTAAGATGCAACTATGGATAAAAATAACATAATTTTCAAAAGTAGTATACATTACCAGAAATTGATGCTTTATATTCAACAGTAGGTCTTTCAGAAGAATGAACGATTGATTTATCTGTTGTAGCTGCTTTCACAACTGTCATTTCATCATTTTCAACTTCATCTGTAAGTATCACAACTGATGATAAACCAGACGTCATTTCTTCAAAATCTGACAAAACATTTGTTGAATTTTGGTCTTCTGTCTAAAATATCAAAAAGCAGAATTACAAACTTCAACATCTTTCATTTGAAATGGCATTCTCTTTTAAAAGAAACATAGTAAAGGCACAATATACTGACAAACTTTGGTGACTAATTAGCCATTTAGGAAACGCTGCCTATTTATAAAACAGTTAACATTACAAAGTAACGAAATAACGGTGGAGTAACAGCTTTGATCGTGATAGGTATCATTACCAAGATTTGACTTGATAATTTCGAATAAATTGAGCATTGGTTAGATTGTTATAAATAAATAATATATATTTTTATTATCCCAATGTTCGTGATAGTTAATTTTCACAAGTCAAAGGTCAATTTTGCATATATACGTTCATATTAGGCGTTGTGAGTTACCGTTATCTGGTAAAGTTTCAGTCACTCACCGACATCAGTTATGATGCAGTGCAGTTAAGGATGAATAGTTAAACTGCAGGTTTGAGTTAGGTTTGCAACGAGAACTGACATCAGTAATAGTTTAAAGCCTTGTCACCGTTCTGCTCACAAACTTCAGAAACTTAGGGTTGCGGTTTAGAGTAAGAGTAAGAAAGACAGAACATTATCTAGCTTCATTAAACACTCGATTACGCAGTAAACATCGCGTGCTTTAACAAACAGACAGCCAGTATATTTTACTTTTACTAGGAACATACGTTAGATACAAATTTTCTAATATGAATTAAAAAAATAACATCAACTAATTTTATTAGTGTTTGTTTTACTACTGATCTCGTGCACTTTTATAAGTTGGCTCGTACCCTAAATAACTTAGTGGTAACGTCTTCTCAGACTGTGAAGCCGAGTGAAGCGGGTTTGAACCCCATAGAGAGTATTAGCTCACACAAGATGTTAGATACTGCTTGTTGACGAGTGACATAAAGGACGAAGGCAAGTTCCAAGGTATCTTGTCAACTATTTAAGAACAACTCAAATATAATGCGCATGATCTCGAAACACAGATTAGTAACCACACTGCTACTTGGCTAGTAGAATGGGATCAGCACTAAAGGATACGGCAAACATGACATTGATGGCTTACTCAGTGATCAATCAATGAATATATAATAGAGCAGAAATTTCTCTATGTTGTTTATGACTGATTTATAAGATCAAATCATATAAAGTAAAAAGCCTACACTTAAGTAGAAATGATCACAATAGTAGAATGAAATCCAAATTTATTCTGACAAATATATACATATAGTCATAAATATATTTTTTATACAGAAATAAAAACATTAACTTAAATACTTTTGTCAGTTACATGGCAATTAACACAAATCAGAAATAAGATCAGCACAAGTGTTCGATATATTGTTATAACAGGCTGCCATTCAGCTGTCAAACCTAAAGTTATTCCTATTACTCCATTAAACTAAATCATCTTCGGCAATGAATTAATGATTTTATAATAATTTAAAGTAAAATTACAGTATAGAAACGAGCTAATAAGAATTGAGAAAATGACTTGAGTGAAATCCAAAAACGAGTGTTTAATTCCCGTTTTATTATATGAACAGTAGAAATACCTTTGTAGATTGCTTAGAACATTTAAAATGATCATGGAAAATTATTTATGAGTCATGATAGAGTAAAATCCTAAACCCAGAATGTATATACAACACAAATCAGCAATATTCCTAGATCCTAATTCTAAATATCGAACGCTAAATCTCTAAACAAGAACAGTGTGAAGACTTATAAGAATCTATTTGCTTCACGACAGTTCGAGATGACGGATGTTTTTATATCCATAAGAACAATGTTAAGTGTCATTGTTTTCCAATTTATAGACAGAACGTGTAGAAGACTTCAGTAGATTCACTATGTAAGATATGTTTGTATTTTGTAATGTGATTAGTTTTCTTCCATGAAGTACTGAATCATAGTAACTGCATTTTTACTGACCAATAGCTAGCTAAAATTGGTCACGGTTGTTTTAAAGTCCTTCCTATAATATACTCTTATCAGTAAGCCTAGTGTGTTGATATCACCATTGACTTAAAAAAGACAAACAAATAAGACAATCAATTTGAGCCAGCTTGGTAACAATTTTGGTTGTAATAATTCGACATTGGTCCAACTAAGTTATGTTGCTAATCCCAACATACTGAATGATCTATGCATGGTTCAGGCAATCAGATATGATGGACAAATCCACATGAAGCAGGCACTTTTAGTATAAATTTTTATATACAAATTTATTATTTAGCTTTTTAGTGCTCTCAGGTTTTCAATGGTTGCCTAGTCAAGGTTGGTTCGTAATTTCAATATCACTGAATAATCACGTGCTAGCACTATGTACCTTAAGAAAAAAAGAATATCACGCGATTTCTCATTCATTTTGAAATGCATACTTTACGGATATATGCAGTATGTTCACTTTCTTTTTCTCTTTCGCATTGAATATATTGATTAAAATATACAATAACAACATGACTGTTAAAACAAAAATCGATATCTTCAGGTGTGTTATATGCATATATTGTACGTGACGACGAAGTTATATGGAGAATAAAGCCTTTTAATAACAAGCTAGTTATAATCATAAAGCGATTGATATATTATATAAGCTTTCGAAAGTCTAATTGGATAAATCACAAGAGTTTCTGTACGATTCGAAATCATAGTTCTCATGTTTGTGAAACGTGGTCTCTAAAAATAGACAGTAATGGTAGGGTACTATTATTTGAATTGCATGCGAATATCGGGTAAACAATACTGAGGTTAAACAAAGGGTGTTGGTTAAGGATGAGAAATTAGCTGGTGAGGTATTTTGAACATCTGCTATGTAGGCCTAACCAGGTGCAATGTTAGCCGATCCAGGAGTAAGTTGTAATAAATCTAGGGGCGACCAAACAGAGATGTGGCGTCGGTCCATGAAGCCACTAACTGTTGAACTAACCAGTGTAGATAGCTGCAGACTATGGTTAGGGTCCGTGGGACTATCACAACCAATAGTTGGATATATATATATATATATTGTCGTCATAGTTTTACGTTTGATCCGATGTTATTATCTTAGAACTCAAAATACTTTTACATTCCGGTCACGACTGTGAATTCTTAAAGAACTCGAAGATCACAACAATCACGTCTGTCACTTTCAAATAGGTAAGTGACGAATCAGTTAGTGCATACATATGTACATGGTTTACTAACTTGTAACGTTTATTGCTGTCAACTTTATGACGTTAACATGCTTACCATATCTAAAATAATACAAATGAGAGTGCTTACCGGTAGAGTAGATAAACATTCGACTTTTATATTGTCCGGTTTAAGATTATCCGACAAATTTTCTTTCTTGTTACAACTAAACTTCCCCAAGTGTTTGCTTTTATTCACTGGTTTTCTGTAACTATGTTTTCTCTTGGACTTTCTTTCGTGATTTGATTTATCATTATCATTATTATTATTACTACCACTACTACTATCACTATTACGACGGATTTTCTTTTCAGTGATATTGTCTTGGTTGAAAGATCTACTACGGAATCGCGAATCACTTCTGGTAATATTAATAGTAGTATCGTTATTACAGTATTTTTTGAATTCATCATTTGAAATTTCTGATTCATTCTCCACGGGTGTATGATCATCACTATCTAATGGATATGAGAGAAAATGAGACGAATTTAAATCATAGTTTAAGATTATTGCCTAAATAAAAATAACTTCTTTGAGAAGTGTAATTATGTTGCATGAGTCCCAAAATTATACCCTAGAAAACTTAGGAGACCTTTTACCCAATCAGAGTTGAGTATAATCTTCACAGAAACATCCAGTGAATGCAGAACCACGTATCACGGTTTCGATTGGATACTTATATGTACTGCTACTATCTTCAGTATGGTTCCAGAAGTTTGAGGACAGGCGCGATACTATAAACATCCTCGTTTTTCTGCATACAAACTAACCTTGGAGTAAAGCTTTTATTCGCATTTCGCGCCTTCTCTGTAGCATTTCAGTTGACTTATAGAAGTAGTTGGGGATATCAGAACTGGCTAGGAAGACAGTTTGAGCGGGTCCGTAGCAAGGATTATCAATTCAAAACTTCTAGGTTCTGTATTAATCCCACAGTCAGTCAGTCGGCTACAATGTAGAACCACGCACATATGTGCATCGGTCTAAGTTGCCATACCGCATTAGCACAAGAAGATGAACACCGGATTCATAGAAGTAGTTAATTTAGTGATGGTAATATATAAAAGAAAGATTGCACATAAGGACATAATACAGGAAGAAAGAATAAGTTCGCAGAAAGACGTGAAGCGATTTTAATCTCATGGTTTAAAGGAAGACAAAGAGTGTATACACCTACGACATATGAGATACTGAATTAACTTTAGCACAACTACCAACATATTATTTCACATCACCAAATTTGATGACAATGTGAACTATCTAGTAATGAGATAACATGATTCGAATTGGATAAGTTGTTGGCATTTTTTAAACTCAAGACCATTTTTCGGTAATGTTAAACAACTAATTTGCTGTTATCTATCATTGCTATGCTTGGCTTTTGTTGACCGTCATTATTGTTTACAGTGATTACCTACATATTTTATAAATCTACATTTAATTTGTTTCCGCATAATAAAGGTACTCGAATTCTATCACAATGACTTTCCCAGAATTTATTTATTACAATTAAACCTTTAGATATTCGTAAAACAAATGGTGGAGGTTTTAGCCTACTCTCCTTAGATCTGGAAATTGCCTCATTTTGTTTCACGTTTTTAAAAATAACCTTGTATGATGTAGTGAGAATTCAAAAATGAAGCAATAAAATCACTACAATTTGACTAGTTTGCTACGATAGAAACACCCAATCACTACGTCAAACTACAGTCGAATACATCGCCGGAAAAGGACAGTGACACATAACATACTTGTTGAACATTTAAAATGTTGCAGATAACCTCAGGTAGAAATATGTACGACTTTCAAAAGATTTATACCTACTTCTTTTGATAACATAAATTTAGCATTCCTTATTTCTAAAAAAGGGGTTTGTTTTATCATCTACTTGGTATTGAACTGATGTGGAAAAAAGACAAACTGAATAGATTCAAGAAGAATGGACGTTAGGAAAGAAGCAGCTTTTTAAAAAATATCATTTCTCGAAAAAAAACAATGCCATAAAATACTCCAACTGGCTGTTAACGTGGAAATAATTTTTTGTGATTAAGGTCATATAAGTGAAATTTAATTTGATTTCCGTTTGGTTATCTACAGTGGTCTATTCAGTGATTTATGATACAAATCGCATTATTTCCAATCGTTAGTTATGACAATTTTAAAATCACTACCGTTAACAGTGAATTTTCAGTGATTAATCATTTAAACAAAGTGCAAACGATTGATAAAAAGTGCACCAAAATGAAAATGTACTGGTAACAACTAATCAGCAATGATTGAAAATACTTTTTGATTACTCGATTTTGAAAGTGTAAAATACTTGTAGTAAATAAGGAACGATTTCAAGATCATACACTAATTATCTCGTGTATGTTATTTCAAACACCAATGTTTAACGATTGAGTGTTGTTAGGAACTCTCTGGTCGCCCATACCGTGAAGGGTACCTATTTTTGAGGTACCAAAAAACGAAACTGGGTTTAGGGTGATCTTGATAACGTGATAATGTGACTGCAGTGCCCAAAGAACAAGTGTCTGAGGCCGATTACGTACGGAATTTATTTGAGTAGTATCGGATGTGCTAGCTCCGAAATTTAATGCCTTGATGCCGTCGGCGAATATTCGCGGGGCAAGATGAGATGTTCTATACTCAAAGCACATTTTTGCTAAACTGGTTTTTCCATTGTAGTAAGTAAAGTGCCGCAAGCGCTTGTCTGAGCCAAGCATTTTATCGGTCATACCTCAGTAGTTAACAGTCTGATTTTGGCACTTTTAATCTGACCACACTCCAATCGACTTGACCAATGTGGTAGGAATTACGCGAACGAGTGTCTCAGTATTGTATATATATATATATATATATATATATATATATATATATATATATATATATATGCGTGTGTTAGATAGAATTAATGTGATAAGTATTTCAAGACAATTAGCTGGTCAGGTGATAATAACTTGTAAAAACTTAATAAGTAAGAAAACCATATGATGACGGTGTGTTTAACTTCCTATTCTTGAACATATTACTAACAATTTCAAAGAACACTGGAGTCGATACTCGATTATAATCACAAACATTTAAATATATTATTTTGAATTATTTTTAACACTTAGTAGATGTAAGGTACAGAAATAAAATAAAAATTGATTAACACAGAAAAATGATTATAGGGTGATTAGTGTTCTATTTGTAGTTTAAAATTAAGGATTGACCTTCGTTAAACAACACATATAAAACCATAAAGCACCATACAGTAGTTTCGTCCTATAGACTAATTTCGAGAGGCGATTTCCGGAATTCTGGTTGGAAGCCATGACCAATGAATTGCGACCAAGTCAAGTGTGAAGCAGTTACTTACCAATGACATTGAAAGTTAGTTGTGCAGTATTGTGAACTGATTAAGATTAAAAAATCAAAACAACGGCTGTTTCCTCAATGGTTTAAAAACTAAGCACTCGTTGCAAGACCTGAAGGTCATGAGTTCGATCCCCGAAAGTTTTTATTGGGGTGACCTGAAAAGTTCATCAAATGAAGCTCAAAGGAGCCACGAAAACGCTGGGAAACATCTTATTCAACCAGCATTCAATAGAAACTCCTCTGAAAGATCTAGAAAGTAAAAACCACGCGTCATATTTCTGATTGGATGATTACTGATCCTGCTACTAGGTTTAACAGGGTTTCAAAACTTTCCGAAAGCCCAAGGTCATCTGAAGAATTATAAATACCCTAGATTTTCTGTAACTCCGCCTGTAGCTCTTCTAGAGTTACTGCCGGTCCCAAGCCCGGATAAAGGAGGAGTGTTGGGCATGGGGTTAGCGTCCCCATCCCGTAGAAAGCTAACTCGCTAAAAAAACGCTAATCAGAAAAAATAACTCAAACCATTTAAACTCTGCCCTGGGAGTTAGAAGGTTTTCATTTAGAAGAAATATGACGCCTCATGGTGAAAGCCAGGTTCCTTCAGAAGCCATGAGGCCGATTCCCCTTCTAACAACCAAAGCAACAATTTTTATAGGTACATGGAACGTCCGGACAATGTGGGAGACAGGGAAGAACAGTCAAATAGCAACGGAAATGAGGAGATACAACTTGACAGTACTCGGAATCAGCGAAACCAATTGGATCCAAGCTGGACAACAAAGGCTAAATACGGGAGAGATGCTGCTATACTCCGGTCACGAAGAGGAAAATGCCCCACATACTCAGAGAGTTGCTCTAATGCTGTCCAAAGTAGCACAAAATGCACTTGTAGGATGGGATCACAATGAACGTTATCCAATGTTATGCACCCATCAATGATAGCAACGACGACATTAAAGTTCAATTCTACGAGAGGCTGCAATCAATCATAGAGAAGTGCCCAAGAAAGGACCTCACCATTCTGATGGGAGATCTAAACGCCAAAGTCGGAATAGACAACACCAGATATGAAGATATCATGGGACTGCATGGACTGGGAGAGAGAAACGAAAATGGGGAAAGATTCTCAAATCTGTGTGTATTCAACAAATTGGTCATAGGCGGCACAATATTTCCACACAAACGTATACACAAAACTACATGGATCTCATTGGACCACACCACGGAGAACCAAATAGATCATATTTGCATCAGTAGAAAATTCACAAGGTCAATGGAAGACGTGAGAACCAGGAGAGGAACTGACATAGCTTTAGATGACCACCTGGTTGTGGCCAATTTAAAACTGAAGCTAAAGAAGAACTGGACAACTGGACAAACAGCGCTACAAAGGTTCAATACAGCCTTCCTTTGAGATAATGACAAACTCAATGAATTCAAGATAGCCCTCAACAACAAGTTCCAAGCCTTACAGGATCTACTGAAGGAAGAAGAAATTACTATGGAGGATAGCTGGAAAGGTATCAAAGAAGCATTAACTTCAACGTGTCAAGAGGTTCTGGGCCCCAAGAAGCATCATCACAAGGAATGGATCTCTATAGAAACACTGGACAAGATTAAAGAAAGGAAGAACAAGAAGACAGCAATTAACAATAGTCCAACACGAGCAGAGAAAGTCCAAGCACAAGCTGAGTACATAGAAGCAAACAAGCAAGTGAAGAAGAGTATTAGAGCCGACAAGCAGAAATACGTGGAAGAACTAGCAACGAGGGCGGAAAAAGCTGCAAGAGAAGGAAATATGAAACAGCTTTACGATACAACGAAGAAACTAGCAGGAAAATATAGTAAACCAGAGAGACCGGTCAAAGACAAAGAAGGCAGGCAAATCACTGAAATTCAACAACAGCGGAATAGATGGGCAAAGTAATTCGAGGAACTCCTGAATAGGTCGGCTCCAATGACTCCACCGGGTATCGAAGCAGCACACACAGATCTTCCTATAAATGTCAATCCACCAACGACGAAAGAAATCAGAATGGCCATCAGGCAAATCAAGAGCGGGAAAGCAGCAGGACCCGACAATATACCGGATGAAGCACTGAAGTCAGACATCGAAGTAACTACAAACATGCTCCATCTTCTATTCAAGAAGATTTGGGAGGGACAAGTGCCGATGGACTGGAAAGAAAGACACAACATCAAGATTCCAAAGAAAGGAGATCTGAGCAAGTGTGAAGACCTCGACATCTGAGGGAAAACGCGGCATACAATGGACAGCTCAGAACCAATTAGACGATCTGGACTTCGCAGATGACCTAGCCCTCCTATCGCATACACACGAACAAATGCAGACAAAGACAGCCAGCGTAGCAGCAGTTTCTGCATCAGTAGGCCTCAACATACACAAGGGGAAAACCAAGGTCCTCAAATACAACACGGAGAACAGCAATCCAATCACTCTTGATGGTGAAACTCTGGAAGATGTAGAATCCTTCACACACCTGGAAAGGATTATCGATGAACAGGGAGGTTCAGATGCAGACGTAAAGGCGAGGATTGGCAAATCAAGGACAGCATTCCTTCAATTAAAAAACATATGGAACTCAAAACACCTTTCAACCAATATCAAAGTCAGAATCTTCAATACGAATGTCAAGGCAGTTCTACTGTACGGAGCTGAAACCTGGAGAACTACAACAACCACCATCAAGAAGGTACAAGTATTTATCAATAGCTGTCTACGCATGATACTCAACATCCATTGGCCGGATACCATCAGCAACAGCCTTTTATGGGAAAGAACCAACCAGCTTCCAGCAGAAAAGGAGATTAGGAAAAGACGATGGAAATGGATAGGACATACATTGAGGAAATCATCAAACTGCACTACGAGGCAAGCGCTAACTTGAAATCCTGAAGGAAAGCGGAAAAGAGGAAGGCCAAAGAACACATTACGTCGGGAAATAGAAGCGGATATGAAAGGGATGAATAAGAACTGGAAAGAGCTGAAAAGGATTACCCAGGACAGGGTTGGATGGAGAATGCTGGTGAGCGGCCTATGCTCCTTTGAGAGGAGTAACAGGCGAAATTAAGTAAGTAAGATTTTCTGTACACAAACTATCCTTGGAGTAAAGCGTTCTCCCCATATTTCACACCTTTTCTCTCATGTTTAAGTTATCGTGTAGATTTAGCCTAGGGGCTACCAGAAGAGCTTCAGAAACCGACTCAAGAGTTCAACTAGAAGACTTATCACTTGTGAGTGTAGACTCTTGAGCAGTTCCATACTAGAATGAAACAGCCGTTTATCGTTTACCGGTTTTCAATGATCCTCTAAATAAGATTAGTTTGTGATGTAAACTTCAAAATTCAGCAATCTCGACAAATCCTAAATGTCAATCCAAAACTATATTTTCTTGTTGAATAATCTAACTGTGAGACATATTTAGCATTGGAAAATAATCAAATCCAGTTTTAGAAAAGAGCATGAAATATACACAATCTCATGAATATATAATCACTATTACACCAGATTACAATTTACAACAAACAATTAGATATTACATGATACTTGCACAGGTCTCAGTATTTTGGTAAAGTTGTGCGCAGCTTATTTGTGTAAACCAAACCATATTCTTATGTTCTTTACTTTGTTTAGTAATATTTGTGTTTGTGTCTTGAATTCAACTTTGCGACAAAACGTAACGTCCCAACAGCAGATCATATGATAGTAGAACGACCCAACTATGATTAATTAAAAAAAACTGGAAAATATCCAACCTTAAAAAGGATGAGTGAAAATTTTTTTGTAAGACTACACACTCATGGATTCACTCTAATGACAGTAATAGCATACGACGGTGGAACTATACTCCACCAACAGACCAAAATAAATTTACGTCAACGGTTGTTGGACTTTTGCGCAAAATTCAAAACGAGTTGACAAATAGCTTATACTTTATTAAAAACCAAGTAAAGGCTTTATCCCAAACCTAAACTTATTGGTTTTTTACGGTAAATGGTTTGTTTATGTTACAGACATTTTGACTGGCTAATACTTGCGTGAAATCACGCAAGCTTTTTTTACAGTCACTTAATTACATCGGTATAGCATCATTTTGTCACCCTGTTCATCTGCTGTACTAAGTACATGAAACATCCAAAGTTGAGATTTTAAGAAAACAAATAGGAGTGCTAACCTGGCCATTCATCATCTTGAGTAACATTTAGATTTTTGTAGGTTTCATTAGTACCGTTAGCATTCCGTGTAGATTCATTCGGTATTGTTTGCTTGACAGTTGAGACAAATTCAACTCGTTCATTAAGTTTTCTTCTATGAAATTCAGTTGAGTCCAATAACCAAACACGATAGTAATACCTTGACCAGAAATCGGCATCACTCATACATTTATCATTAATTTTACCATCTGGATGAACAAGTTGAGTTAAATATGTTCGCATAAAAGGATATGAATCTAATAATTCTTCAGGACTAGGATGTGGTGCTTGTGTAAGTTCTTCAATCGGAACATTACTATATTCAGGACTTTTAGCATTTGCTAACAGGACACCATTCATTGGTTGACAATTATCTTCATCAAAATACGCTGATCTCCAATCACGATATGAATGTATACCAGACAATACTGGAGGCGTTGGTGGTTCCAATTCATATGTTGCAGGATCTGCTCTAAGTAAATCAAGACGAGTCTAAAGCAAAAATATATTTAATTAGCTACATAAATAAATTTAATAATAAAAACCAAACACGTGTTTGAAATGGTTACATTGATAAGGATTTTGAAAAAAGTACAACAATGTACATCCACATGACGTGTAAAATTAACACATATTTTTGAAATGTGGTAAATTATTAACCAAATTTTAGAATAAGATGTTTTAATCAGACCTACAATATTGGTTGTGTTAACTTGCAAAATGAATTTGGTATTTTGAAAGTCCACATTTTAATTCAGTCAGTCAGCTACAACGTAGAACCACGCACATGTGCATCGGTCCAAGTTGGCATACCTCATTAGCACAACAAGCTGAACGCCGAATTCATAGAAGTAGTTAATTCAGTGGTGAGATGACTAGAGATTCTCGTTACTTGCGTGAAACAATTGATATAATCACACAATGATACAGTCGCCAATACTTCGTTTTCGAAACTGGAGCATTGTGTTTTGGTTTTATCGTTCTCTAACCAAACTCCCTGGTATGGGAAGAACTTGACGAGCAAGTAACCCAGACAATATACCTTAAGTCCGACTACATGATCAAAGCAACAACTACAGATAAGTTCAGAAATGGCTTTTATAAATATGTCTAAACTGTTGTGGTGTGAGTTACTTATATGAACAGATGAAAGTAGTATGTATCAGGAACTGGAAGTCGGATTTTTACTGACAGAAGAGGAAAATGAAGAAACAAGAAAGAGAAGCAGTTAGAGTAGCTACACGAACGGCAAAACGACGGAGTTTGCAAGAGACAATTTAAGGAAGCTGTGCGAATGGTGAATTTAAAGCATTGTTTTATTTTAACAGTTGAGATCATGAGTCAATAAAAGTAAGACCACCATGGAAAGCCTGGGAGCGCTGGACGGCCGTTTCATCTTATTGTGGGACTCTTCAGTGATTATGCATAATACAATAAATTGGATTACGCTACCCAAGTTTTTTATTAATTACAATAGTATTTAACACGATAAAATAAATTTTAAAAAGTTCTGTTCCTGATTTTGATTGTTAAAAATATGTCATTAACTAATGTTGATTTTTAATACAAGTGAATTTTGAACGATTGACTAAAATATCCCCTATCAGCTACAAAATGTATGTATATTGGACGCAAACGTACTAAAAACATTTCATTCTATCAGTTTTGTCATGATAATAATGCTTTTATATTATTCAAACAACAGAATTTCTTCATAATATTCCCATTAGAATATGTTTTATTGTCATACAATAATATACGTCTACATTAGAAAAGCGAAATAAACTAGTCACCACGAAAAGTTAACAAAAAATGTATTGCAAAAATTGAATTTAAAACTACTAGAAAAACCATGCACAAACATCTTACAAATAATCAGGAAAAGTAAATAATATATTTGTAATATCTCAATGAGTAGAAAAACTAGATTTTCTGACGTTTCGTGACTACTACTTACACTAAGTCACGAAACGTCAGAAATACGAATTCTTCTACTCATTGAGATATTACAAATATATTATCTATTTATAACAATCTACCCAATGCTCAATTTATTCGAAATTATCAAGTCAAACCTTGGTAATGATACCTACAATCAGGAAAAGTGACATGGTTTACCGAGTTTTCGTCAAGAAATACAACATATGTATGTAGCATGTACAAAAACACATATTAAATTTTATTTTCTGAAGAAGTGGCTTATAATAACTCACGAGACATTGGAAAATTTAAAATCCTAATTTTACTACTTATTCGGATATTAAAAATACATTATTTTTATTAATTAAATTTTTGGTTTGGCAAAGAAATACTTTTCAAAATTAGTGATTGTTACGTTCGCTACTTGATTAACGTAGAACACGATATACAACTAACGGCACTCAAACGTATAGAACCCCACAGTTGCAAATCAGAAGACAAAAGCAGGAGAAGTGATTGTTTGGTAAGAATAGAAAATGTACAAAAAATTATGGGGGTACATAGATATTGGTGTTCGTTATAACATCATTATGATTCAGCCACTCCACAAGGAGGCAAGTTATGCTACCGTCCAATCGTGTTATGCCACGTTGATATTCCAGAAAGCTATTGTAGACCGCGGGGTGGCTACTCTAAATTCTACCGATTGACTAACTGCAGATATCCCAGTACGACCCCAATACTGTTCCCCAATCTCCAATATATCAGAACACGAACCGTTAGATGAAAATTGTTTATGGGGTCAGGAGAAGAAGAATAATAAGTTACAGACAAATGCATATTTATACAGTTAGGACTACCGTGAATATTGACCAACAGGAAAATGACACGTGAAATAAATATTTACCGGTAGAAACGACACACGAAATAAATATTGACCAATAGGAAAATCTCAATGGTTAAGATCATGAGTCAGTTGAAGCTAGACCACCATGGAAAACCTCGAAGCACTGGACGGCCGTTTCGTCCTATTGTGGGACTCCCCAGAAGTGCGCATCCACGACCTCGCTCCCTGCGAGATTCGAACCCAGGACTTATTGGCTTCACGCGCGAGCGACACATCCACTATTGTCTTCAGCGGGTTACTATCTCACAACAGACCTGGTTGAACTCCACAGGTCACTACTTCTCACTAGAACTTCGGGATATACCTCACTAGTGAGCATATGCTGATTAATATCAGAAGGGGTTTTGTGGAGATTGTAGTAATTCCAATGGTTAAGATTATGAGTCAGTCGAAGCTAGACCACCATGGAAAACCTGTCGCTCAATTTTGTGGATTAGTTGAAGTTAGACATAAACACCTTTGGATGCCGGCCGACTCAGTGGTCTAGTGGTTATGTGCTAACGCGCAAAACTAGGTCCTGGGTTCGAATCTCGCGGGGGGGCAAGGTCGTGGATTTGCACTGCTGAGGAGTCCCACAACAGGACGAAACGGCCGTCCAGTGCTTCCAGGTTTTCAATGGTGGTCTAGCTTTAACTGACTCATGATCTTAACCATTGAAATTACTACAATCTTCACAAAACGCCTTCTGATATCAATAGGAAAATGACACCATTTCACGTTCAAGAATAGCATTAGATTTAACAGGATAATTTTTGGGATATTTTTCTGAATATCCCAACAAAAGCTCCATCAGGTTCTGATAGGGTGAAAACTCTTCGGCTCCTTTGGAGACTCCGTCGTGCTTCTTGGAAGCCGTCCCAACAGTAATTGTATCTGGTTGACCATGTGGAAAGAAGTGAGAGGGGGATTCGGACCTGTAATCCACTGATTGACAGTTGAATAATCTAACCGCTCCAACTGTTGGTTGGAATATCAATAGAATGAGTTGTAATTATGGAATAATAAATATCTAGTTCTGAGTAAATAATTGAAAAGGATTCCTTTGATGAAGCAGTTATATATATATATATATATATATATATATATATATATATATATATAGCGTACTAAAAGAGGAAACGAACCAATGACATTTAGGGTCTTTCTAAGTAGGCTCGTTTGGCGCGAAAATGAGAAATTCAAATTCCAAAAATAAAATTATAAGAATGAGACGTTTATCAAGTGATTTCTGGGAACCTAGCAATCCAACAGTGTATTGCTATAAATAAAGAGCATTTCGAAGGGGATAAAAATGGGGTACGGCAATTTTCATAAGGTAAATTTACTAGAAACTTAGTTTATGTATTTATTGGACAATTTATGAATTACCAACATCTCAATTGACAATAATTAGTTAAAAAAATATGCTGACAGGACCAATTCAATTATATCCCTCAAACCATTTAAAATTAAATAAAAAGATGGCACATGAAAGATAGAATAGAATACTAATAACATCAAATAAGAATATTTAAAGTCAGCAGTTAATGAAATACCACATCACTCTAATAAAATCTCTCGGTCTTAAGTAATCATGATCAAGAACATGAACGAGGTAAGCATATAATACTTAGAGCATTTTATGGATTCTGGATCAAAATTACATAAGATCAGATAAATTTCGGAACAGTACAAATTATAAAAATTTGGAATTGAACTGGTAAACAACAAGCGACTTTAATTTTGTTGACACATAACTATCCACTGAGTTTGTTCATAAGTTTTAAGCTACTACTCTTCAATTTACAAAAAAAGTAAATACTTACTAGTAACTCAATAATTGATAATCTAGTATGCAAACCATTGGACCGTAAAACTAGTAGACATTCTGTGGTAGGATAAGCATTTGAAGCTTTTTTGCAGTTTACATCACGAACTTATATTAGCTAAACGACCACTGAATAGCAGGAAAAATCAAACAGCTGCTTTGTCACAGTATAAGACTTCCCGGTAGTGTGTATTCCGGACCACATCAGAAATCTCGAGCCCAGAAACTTCAGGCATCAAGTCAAGAGCCCAAACTTTAGACCACTGAGGTGACACCCAGTGGTTCACGTTTCTAACCTTAATCAACCCGCAATACTGCGCGACCATCCTTCGATGCCACTGGTGAGTGACTGTTTTACACCTGATACGGTTGAACTTTATTAGTAATGGCTTCTAATTTGAACTTTGAGGATCATCTCGCTTCAAATGTTATCTAAGATTAGTTGGTGATGTAAACGGTAAACACAAGTTTGTCAATTTCTAAAAACTATTTATACTAATTTGAAAATCTATTTATCTGTGTTTTAACTAGAACAATTATAGTTATGATGATAACTATAATAAACTAGTTCCTCTCAACACTGTGTTTTTGAAAAAATTAAAACATACTTGGTGTTTACTTTTATCTTTACATTTATTTTCTCCAGTTATTAAACCCAAATACGTGCCAGTCGACATCAAACCATTATATAAAGAACCAACCAACTGGGATACATCTTTTTTAATATTCGAGAAGCTAGGCAATGCTGGTGGTAAAGCTGTTAAGTCTACAAAATAAAAGATGAAAATAATTAACACATAGAACAGTGGAGAAATGTAGTAATGATATTTGATAATTTTTGTTTGATTATATTACCTTGAAAAAGTTTGGATCTGATTGCCAAGCGAAACGTTAAATTTACTTTAAATTCATTCTCAGAGATTTCATAAATACATTCTTTCTACTTAATGCCTTACATCAACTCGGTGCCCAAGTTCTGTGAGAATATTCCTTCAAATTTAGACGAAAATTCTTACATGGCAACATATTTATTGGTAGATCGATGAGTGAAAAAACTAGCCTAGAAATTAAGACAAATATGTAAGACTTATTTATCTGTGAAGATGAAATCAGTGTCACTTACTCACTTACACTACTATGTACACAACTTTAATGTCATAGAGATGGTTACTACTGATTAGTAAAGTATAACTATGAACAGACAGATATCTTATCGTAGAGCCTTCCGTGAACGTTGAGGATAATAGTAAAACATTAAGAGAAAATCCAAAAGAATGAGAAGACATTAGAATACGCATGAAAGAGGGCCAATATTCAAGAAAATAATTAACAGTAGTTATAAGATGTTCAGGGGCACATCACTAAATCCAACTGTCTTTACAAACACAACTTGAGCGTAAGGACAACCCAAAGATTACTGAATTCATGAACTGTTTTAATTTCTTGTTTTCAAATATGACCGTAATTCAATTAGTATTCAGCATAAAGACGGCACATTGGTGTTTAGTTACGACTCTAAAAAAAGATTTTCTTAACTTGCTACTCTGGAATTTTTAGATCTAATATGACAAGCTAGATTCAACCCCCTAAAATCCTACATATACGATTTTTTACTGTATTATAAATCCGGAGATGAGACAAATTCTTTACAGTTTATTCATGGATATTATAATTTAGTCTTCAAAGTATTTGATGGTTTTAAATAAAAAAAATTTATTTCTTTATTGGCTATACTTTTTCAACCAATCAATCTAACCTAACTGACTTGTATTGAATGATAGTAATCTGGTTAAAATTGTGAATAAAAGAAATAATTTATTACCACTAAAATATCTGAGCAGTAATTAACAACTCCGTCATATGTTATTATTTAAAAAGAAATGATCGTGATCTTCACTATTTTATTTATAGTATATTGATCAGATAGTCAGTTTTACAGCTTTGTGGAAAGCGTAATTCATCTTAGAAGCAAAGATGGATAGTGGCTAGCAGTGGAATCCAGGACGCGCGTTTCGTAATTCATCTTCTTTGATCGTGGGTTGTTTTTATATCCAGGATGAAGTACAGTGGATACAGTAACTGAAAATTTATTAATAAGTTCTTGTCAACCGTATATACACAAGTATAGAATCAGATAATTGTGTAACTATTGTTTTACTGAGAAAAGTGACCAGTATATTTTAGTTCCTGTGAATATAACTTAACAAAAATATAATCTAGCAAAAAGTACATTATTATTTGTTAGGTCAACGTTCATCATTATTTACAACGCTTATTAATGACTGAATATTGTAGAAATATTACCGCTCCAAACATGAGTTTTGAAGAGAGGATTTTTCTCAATTTCAGACTGTTTTGGTCTTCTTTTGTTTATTGTCTTGTACGCTGTTTACAAAATAGCTTGCAGAGACGGATGTGATCAAAGCTTTCAACTTTTAGCCAAGAGGTAATGGGTTCGAACCCCGCTCCACCTACTCCAATTTGAACAACCAAGTAATAACGCCAAATTCCTCTTCTTAAAGTGCGACTCAAAGACAAGCGCACTAAACTATACATAATAAGTGACTTGAGGAAAACAAGATCACTCCAGTTTGCAACCGAATATCGACTGACCATATAGAACTTAATATTCTACAATCCTGTTACTAAAAATCCTATTATTTTCTAGTGAAAAATATCAATCTACTGGGAATAGTTTTTTGTAACAAAACTATTTATATCAATTTAATAATTATTACGATGACAATAAAAAAGTACAAGTATTTATAAACAATTGTCTACGCAAGATACTTAATGTTCGTTGGCCGGATAGAATCAGCAACAGCCTATTGAGGAAGAAAACAACACAGCTTCCAACTGAATAGGAGATTGGAAAAAGACGCTAGAAGTGGATAAGACATACACTGAGGAAATCATCAAACTGCAGCACTAGGCAAGCCCCAAATTGGAATCCTGAAGGGAAATGGAAAAGAGGAAAACCAAATAACACATTGGGGCAAAAACTAGGAGCAGACATCAAAAGGATGAATAGCAACTGGATTGAACTGGAGAGGATTGACCAGGACAGAGTTGGATGGAGAATGCTGGTGGACGGCCTATGCTCCTCCACGAGGGGTAACAAGCGTAGGTAAGTGTGATGACAATCAAACTGTTGATTGCAAATTGAAACATATCAGCCAATAAATAACCCCCAAACTTCGTACTTCAGCATAAATATCTTACCTTGAACATCCTATAACTCTACACTGAGTTTAAAATCCGTGTATACAGAAATAACCATTGTTTGGTACATTAGGATCAGTTATATTCTCTACAATATTTTAAAAGTACTACAACTAACTATTACAAGAATCAATCATACAAAGATCTATTTCAAAATAATCATATAAAGCTTTATTTTTACCATCTTCAACGATATTTTCCGTTTTTGTAAACTGTTGATCAGTTTTCGATTCATTATCCGGCAACAGAAATTCATCAGGATTTAGATTCTTTACTGTATTTGCAGCAGCTGTGATACGATCACGAACTGAAGAAGCAGTACGACATACAACATCTTTTGGTTCAGAGACAGAATGAACAACTTCATTAAAATCCTTTTTAATCTGTTTCCAAACCTTAAATAAAAACAATATAAGGAAAGATAAGGAGATTGGTGACTTCAAGTCATAATTATTAATGCATAGTTGGTCGAACAAATTCATACAGAACAATTATCTTATTTATTCAATTCATTTACCCTGTACAGATTTGTTGGCGATATGCAAACCCCGAATACAGATGAAATTAAAGCAATTGTGGTATAAATTCATTATTCGCACCAGCCTCCGCGCATATACCAACTCCTTAGTGTTAAAGAACATGTTTTGAAATGTTGGATAAACAAAGCTGAATTTTATAAGTAATAAACACTTAGGAAAAAGTAACGTGAATTTTCCTTGCTTATCATTTCTTGACAACCCAAGGCAAATTTTAATAGTTATGAAGGGCAATTATCCATACGTCTTCTTTGTAACAGATTCTAAAATTTGAACATTGTGGTAGAGTATAGAAGCATAAGACTTCATTTGATGCATGTGTCAACCTGATGGGACTGAAAACAATTAATTGAGCGCATAAACATTAATTCACTAATAAAATCATATCGAGTGAAATACCTATAGTAAAATAGAGAAGAGAATCATTAGAATGAAGCTTGTGATATAGGAGTGTTTGTTTTACACCGTCAATTTTTCTAGCGAGTTAGTTTTCTACGGGATGGGCTCGCTAACCCCATGCCCAACCCTCCTTCTTTATCCGGGCTTGGGACCGGCAGTAGCCCCCGGAGGGACGATATAAACTGACAGTATAATGGGATTCAGTAAGTAAAACCATAAGACAGAGAGGATTCTATATTGTCCCTTTAAAAATACAAGATAATTGGCTCGTAGTTCATACTGTCTTCACTATTATTCATTATTAGTCATGTGAGGGCTATGATTATTCCTGAAATGTCGAGAATGGAGGCAGTCTGTTATGGAAACACCCTCACTCGAGCTCTTGATATAAAGGTCCAGTTCGCAAGGAAGTGGAGTAGTGTTAAGGGACTCAATTTCATGGTGATCAGAGTAGGTTTATATGGCATTTGTCTCCTCAGGATTTTTGACCTCCGGTTTGAAATCAGTGTTTGCCTACTTTGCACCCTTCATATCCACGAAACCCAATCCAAGAGCACATTTTACGTTAGGATATTGCTACGCGAAAGCGATGAGCAGGACTTCTCTAGAAAGGGCTATAAACGTACGGTCGTATGAAAGGATCTGGAAAAGGAGCGTGGACGCTCAGATGAAACGAGGGTTCTGGGAGTGAGTGACCATAAAAATTTTGCCACAATCTATTTTGTGAGCACGGATAACATTGTTCTATGGTCTAGATTTTAGTGGTTGTGTAGTGAACGAATAATCAGATAGGGATAACCGATTTATTGTTTAATGCATAGTCACGAATTGGTTTAGTAAAATATGAAAATCATACATCAAATACATCGTTTGCACATTTTTGAATTGTCGCTTGCAAGCTTCATTGTTTCTTCATTTTTATTTTTATTTTGATTGCTCTCAGTTCCCTTCTCTCTTTTCTTCATTTAAATGTTCTCAACCTTCTGCTCGCAGACATTTCACTTCCCACTGGTGTTACATACTACTTATATCTACATAAGTAGCATACACCACAGTTATAGTGGGACTAAAACCTGTGACCCAGTTGTTGAAAGTCACATGATTAAAGGACTAAGTTAAAGCTCCAAGCGCATGCATGCATCCGTTCAAGTTCCCACACAACATTAGGACAACGAGACAGTCATAAAGATAAATCCCCAGGAAAGCAGAATTAATAACAGTATGAGTAATGGAAGAAAAAATTAGATGTGGGAAAAAAGGTATGAGGGAACTTGAAAATCAGAGACCAACGGATTCTGTTCTGTGTGGCACAGCCTATAGCCATTGATTATGATAGTCCTGTAGACTTGAACAAGATAATCTGCGCCCGCATGGATGAGTCAATCTGATATTTAACAACTCTATGGACTTATGCTACATTTTGGATTGACCGCTCCCTAACTTTCTTTAAACCTAATCCTACATTAGACAACATAGCTTGTCGACGTGAGCCGTAACTGCGGATAAGTAATACATGTCTCAACTACTCCCCAGTTGATAAAGATTTACGGCCTGATTAATCAACTTGCCATCATCAGGACTGCTCTCTGGGATTGTCTACTGCAGGATGTGCCTGAGAAGTTTATTAACATCCTAAAAGCCCTATATACAAACATCTCAAGCAGAGTGAGAGTATACAACCACCTCTCTCCATTGTTCCACTCAAGCAGTGGGGTTAGGCAGGGTTGCCCAATCTCATCATTCCTCTTCAACTTTGCCATCGATGACATTCTGGAAACAACTCTGATGGATTTATGTAATGGTGGTGTGGATCTGTTGCCTGGAGAAAGACTTCTCGACCTTGAATATGCGGATGATATTGTCTTACTGTGCGAGAATGCCCAAGCTATGCGATCCGAACTTAATCAGTTGGCAATCAGTGTCCGTAGGTATGGTATGTGCTTTGCAGCTTCGAAGTGCAAAGTACTTCTACAAGACTGGCAGGATTCTAATCCTGTACTCACTCTGGATGGTGAGCAGATTGAAGTAGTCGAGAAGTTCGTGTATCTAGGTAGCTGCATAAGTGCTGATGGTGGTGTGAGTGATGAGATCAATGCACGTATAGTGAAAGCCAGAGCGGCTTATGCCAATCTGGGCTATCTTTGGCGCCTTCGTGATGTTAGTCTGGCTGTAAAAGGTCGGATCTACAACGCGACGGTGAGAGCAGTTTTGCTCTATGCTTGTGAAACCTGGCCTCTGAGTTGAGGATGTTAGACGACTCTCTGTGTTCGATCATCGTTGTCTCCGAAGGATTGCTGGCATCCAGTGGCAACACCATGTCAGTAATGCAGAGGTTCGACATCGAGTGTTCGGTCACAGAGACGATAATGAAATTGGTGTCACCATCTTGAAACACCGACTTCGGTGGCTTGGACATGTTCTATGAATGTCGTCCCAGAGAATTCCACGTCGTGCATTATTTGCCGACTCTGGGACTGGTTGGAAAAAGCGGAGAGGTGGTCAGTATATGACATGGTGTCGTGGTATGAAAGAAAGCTGCAAAGGGCTAGCTTCTGTTGGTCCTTCACGACTCCCTGGTTGGGGTCCGAAAGACGGTGTAACTCAGTGGCTAGAGACGTTATCAGATATGGCTCAGAATAGAAGCCAGTGGCGATCCTGCTGTAACCTTCTTTTACTTTCTTCATAAAAAGTGTTTGTATCTTCCTCTGGGTTTGATCATTGTTGTCTTCCAAGGATTGCTGACATCCAGTGGCAATACCATGTTAGTAATGCAGAGGTTCGACATCGTGTGTTCGGGCGCAGCGACGATAATTCAATGGGTGTCACTATGTTGAAACATCGAATTCGGTGACTTGGACATGTCCTATGAATGTCATGCCAACGAATTCCACATCGTGCATTATTTTTTGAGGCTGGGACTGATTGGCAAAAGCGGTGAGGTGGTCAATGTATGATATGGTGTCGTGGTATGAAAGAAAGCTGCACAGGACTGGTTTCTGTTGGTCCTTCACGACTCTCTGTTTGGGGTCCTAGAGATGGTGCAACACAGTGGCTAGAGAAGTTATCAGATATGGCTCAGAATAGAAGCCAGTGGCGATCCTGCTGTAACCTTTTTTTACTTTCTTCATAAAAAGTGACCGTAACTCCTGTAACTGAAAGAATTCTTTCTGGTCGTAACTTTTTGTTTCCCCTATTATTATTTCACTACCATACACTAATTTGTGGTCGTTATTGTTCTTTTTTTCTTTTTACACGCACCTTACATTCTTTATCTCTTCCCATTGTCATTATTATTGTGTGGTGCATATGTATCTGGTGCCCCCTTGTACCAATATTTATGTGTTGAAATAAATAAATAACCCCATGTCCCAAAATACTCAAGGAGTGCTTCAAAGACATCCAAGATCGAACACTAGGAACCTATGAGTACTCTTTATCTTTAATGGTCATGCTTCACATCAGTAAAGTAGAGCAGATCGAATCGCTGAGCTGTAAGCCCGTCCTTTGGTTGGTGGATGGATATTTCTCCTACGCCACATGTGACCCAAGCTGACAAAAGTCAACCAGACTTTCTGAATCCACAGAGAGATTTCTCCAGACATCAACTTACCAGAGCTGTTGAAACATCCTAGATAAGTGGTCGACATACTCAACTAATTCGCTCCCCATCATTGATCAAGGATTTCACATAGACCAGTTCTGAAGCAACATTTTGCATTTGTACGGAGAGGACCGCATTCCCAACATGCTTGCCTTATTGCTTAAGATCAGAAGACTGCGTTTTTTTCAGCGTCCGTACCAAACATCTATATCATTTGCGTTTTGTAGATCAACAATTGAGTCTCCCGGTGGAAGACCAACCCCTGGAAAGTGAGACGGTGAGTGCGCTATCTCCACAGTTAAGTAGAAGTGGAGAAATTGAATAACACTGACGAACACCACTCGAGGTTGAAAATTTGAATTACAGTCAAGAAGCTCTGATTCGACCAGTATTGTTTGGGTGGGAAGTTTGTACAAGGTTGATCTACCCCTTTACTACATCTTTCAACGACAGACTGCCATAGAACCTCTAAGTCAATGAAAATAAACGCCGACTTAACGTTAAAGTATACAACTATAGTCGGGGCTTTATTTTATTTATTTATTTGAACACATAAATATTGGTACAAAGGGGTACCGAATACATATGCGCCACACAAGTCACTTGATTTGTGGGTCGGTATGTTTGTATTTTAAAACCTGAAGATTGAATATTTGGTTGGAGGTCAGTTGAACGATTCCCTAAAGTGTTTCATCCATCGATCGAATCTCCTGGATTAAGAATAAGTAACAGTCCTCCATTTTCCGAGATCGTTTCACTAACAGAGGAATTTTAATACCCGTTTCCTTGATGAGCATGATTATCCATCCACGGTTACCTATTGATGCTGCCTTTTCCATTTGTTGGTTTTGCTGGCCACCATTGCTCACAATCATTGTACAGGCTTTTGTTAGCATACTTTTAAGTTTCCTTCGCTCAATCATGTTCGGAGCCCGATGGAATGAGTTTCAGGGCATCTATCCATGCTACAAAAATCCATTGATATTACTTAACCTTTCGGTTTAGGTTACTGATAAGTCGCACTGCCGTTTTCATTGCTATTTGGACATCACGCTAAGCTACCCCACGATGGATATCACTTTCATGATTAATTAACTACTTCTTTAGTTGTTCCTGAAATATATTTTTGACTTTTTCATCGTTAAGATGTGGCTTTACTACATCCAGTAAGACTCAAGCACTAAAGCATGGTCAAAGTCTAAACATATGTTCTAGAATAAGCGGCATTCTTTTATTGAGCCTCTCCCACGATGACTGATGGCAATGTGATCTACTTAAGTCTATCGTTAAGCCTATTTCAGGAGACACTATGTTGGTGTTGGCTATAGACAGATGGATGAAAATTCATACATGGGAAGTACAGTTCAAAAAGAACAATTGCAATCGATGGATGGAAAATCGGAAGTGACATTTAATCAAAAATTTAAAGGAAAATAAAATACAGAGTGCTTCTGAGCCACTAAGACTAATTTTGCACCATGCCATCCATCTTCAACCGCCAAGAGCTTCAGTCGGAAAAAGTAATCCATAGAACTAAGCAATCTGAGTAACTGGATTCACAATAACCATACATGAGGGATGGAGGGTGAAAATGTCAGTACACTGATGCTACCTCTTAAAAATATTTCTAGCTGAGGAAACGACTATGATCGAAGAAGCAAATCTACCACCTACATAATAAAATTAAGATGACAGTGACTGATGCTTTTGGACAAGTGGGAAATATTTATAGCTCAAGCAAATGAGTTTACCAACAGGATTTGCAGAAGGTCAGGGCCTTTTGAATGTTAGATATGGAGTTAATAAATTACAGACAGCGCTCGCCGTATGGTTGGATTTATTTGAGAAGTTAAGTACTAAGAAATTAACTATTTCTCGGAGAAAAATCTAAATATGAACCCGATCGGATTTTTTAATCATCTTCAATAACATCACTGGTATTCGTCTTTATTGTAACTGATACCAACTATGGATAAGTAAGCATATATATAATGTTAGTGAAATCCTTTTCAATGAAATTCAATGCATGCAAAAACAAAAGTGTATGTTTTATGGTTTACGCTATCATATTTTCCCTCTATGGTAAACGATGTGGAGTCCACCATTCTACAATCCATATAACGTTAGTTACGCCGCACATAAACATTTTAATTTGCTAATCTTAACTATGTGCTTACTTGATTTATGACTATCAATGTGAATCCCCTGTCATAAATGCTGTACTTTGAATTGATGTCTTCTGGTTAGACATTACATTTCTTTAAATTTACATACGCCTGACTACTACTCATCGTTTGCAATGGCGCAGGTGCATCCATTCTTTGTGTTCTCTCAAATTCTAATCTTCTGAATTCTTCATGTTCCTTCTTTTTTTTTCTTTTCCCAAATTTATTTCACTGTATTATACTCCTTGAATAACATCTTCAAAGCCCAATCTTTCTGATTACTGCTTATACTTTTACTACCTCTATCACTTAGGGATTTGAATTGACAATTGTATCGCTGTGCTAATGTGGTGTGGCAACTCAAACTGATGTGCGTACGTACGAACTTCTACGTTGTTGATGACTGACTGACTCATTGTTGGTCGACTTATATCAACCGGATCATGACCGTATACTGGCATGAACTCTAGTCGATTCCACAAAACTTTTGAGCCTATAATCGCAATATTTGTAATACAGAGTTAATATTCACAAAGTAAGGGTGGTCAAATGAAGAACATTTCAGGAAGGAATAAACGTTTATGTTTGTATACAATAGTATTATTGATAACTTTACCATATATCTCTGGTTTTTATGAACTTACATGTGAAGTTTTGACTGAAAATCTATCCGTCCAATCACAATTTATATTATGAGTTATCAATTTGTTATCTTCTTGTGACTTATACACTTCAGGTCTTAATGAAATAGAATTAGATTGGAATAAGTACGAAATAATCGAACATACACTTCAATTTTCGAAATATCTTCGGTTATAACTAATGATTTTTCAGATTCCTGATCGACTTGTCTTTCGTTATCGTCATTTGAATTTCTAATGTGCCAGAAAATACTTCGTAAAAATATAACTTACATCCCCATAGATGCAAGCGAGTCCATATAGAACAACATGGAGTTCTAAAATGAGTAAAAATCAACAGGATAAAACTATATATTCATTATTTAACAATTGTAGAAATAGACAAATAGAAAAGTGGTTGGATTATACAACAAAGATACATCATTCCCATTAGAAACAGAAAACGTCTTATTTGACCTTTATTATTTATTTATTTTAACACATAGATATTGGTACAAGGAGGCACCAAATACATATGCGCGACACAGATCTCACTCGATACGTGTGAGGGCTGTGATACTGTCCGGGTGCCCAAACCGATAACCAGATAACCACATACTTCAAATCCTAATAAGAAACTATTTTTACTAAAAGTACCCTTCAGACTAACATAGAAATTCCAAAACCTGAAAAAGTGTACCAGTTTCAGTTATCAAACCTTTTCTATTTAAACACATAAATATTGGTACAAAGGAACACCAAAGTACATATGCGACACAGTAAAAATGAAATTGTGAAGAGACAGAGGAAGGTATGCTTAATAAAAAGAACAAAAATGAATGACTATGTGAGTGAAAATAATAACAGTAGTAATAATGATGGGAGTAGTTCAATTAAGCAAAATACAACCAGAATGGATTCTCCCAGTTAAACAAGTTCCTCTCACTCATATGGACAAAGTAAATGAAATTTACAGCAGGACCGCGACTGGCTTTTATTCAGAGACATTTCTAATAACGTCGTCTCAAGCCAGTGTTGCACCATCGCAAACAGGGAGTCGTGAAAGTTCAACGGAAACCAGTTCTGTACAGCTCTTCATCACACCACGGTACCATGTCATGCACTGACCACCTCTTTGCCTTTAACAACCGATCCCAGCATTGGCAAATAATGCACGACCTAGAATTCTCAAGGATGACATTCGTGGAACATGTCCAAGCCAACATGTTTAAGTCGATGTTTCGAGATAGTGACAACAACTGAATTATCGTCGCTGTGCCCAAGCACACGTCGGCAGACCTCTGGTGTTGCCATTAATATCAACAATCCGTCGTAGACGATGATGATCAGACACAGAGATTCATCTAACATCCTCAACCCAGAGACTAGGTTTCACAAACGTAGAGCAAGACCGCTCTCATCGACGGGTTGTAGATCCAACCTTTTACAGCCAGACTAACATCACTGAGACACCAAAAACGGCCCAGATTAGTATAAGCCACCTTGTCTTTCACTGTAATTAAGTTGATTTCATCACTCGCGCGACCACCAGCACTTACAGTTATCTAAATAGGTGGAAATTCTTGACTACTTCTAACTGGTTGCTACCAGGGGTGAGTACAGGTTAGGATTCCTGCCTCTTATCAAGGGAGGCCCAGGTTCTACTTCCAGAGAGGAAGCCAGCCTCCAAATGCCCTGATACGGCTGGTGATGGAGAGAGGCCCCTCTCCCTCTTGAAATGCTCTGGTTTGGTCACATGTACATAGAGAGATTGTAGACTAAGCTTTTCAACTACATAATTCAGTATCATCAATTTTTCTTAAACTGTTAAATCCCGACTTCTCAATTGAACAACAGCATCCAAAAGCAACCTCCTTTGACCACTGAATATAAGTCAATCATAAGTAAAGTAGAATATGGCAAATACGTGCATCAGTCAGTCAGTTACAACGTGAAACTTCGTACGTACGTACATCAGTTCGAGTTGCCATACCACATTTGCACAGAGATGCAGTTGTCGATTCAAATCCCGTAATGGTAGAGGTGGTAAAAGTATAAGCAGTAATTGGAAGGATTTATTTATTTGAACACATAAATATTGGTACAAGAGGGCATCAAATATATATGCGCCACAAAAAATTTTATTTGTGTGTGGGCTGTGATACTGCTCGGGTGTCCAGACCGAAGCAGGTGGTTTTCTTAGGGGGCCACGCCCCGAGCCTTTGACCTAAAGGTCTGATCCACAAGGCAGTGGAGCATTGTGAGGAGATACAGTCCCATGGTAGCCGGTGACCAACAATTGGTTCATACGCCATTTGTTCCCTCAGGATATTGGAGCCCATGTGCACCATTGGTTTGGGATCCGGTTAAAGCGCCGGACATTCGCTCTTCGTCCTCTCATTTTCGTAGACAACAGCCCCGCCACGAGAAGGCAGTGAGTAGGACTTCTCTAGCAGAGGCTGTATACGCGTGACCATGTGAGAGTATTTCTAGAGGGAGGGTGGGCCCACCCAACTCTCGGCCATACCAGGGCATTTGGGGGTTTGAAGATGTTATTCAAGGAGTATAATACAGTGAGATAAATTTGGAAAGAAAAAAAAGAAGGAACATGAAGAATTCAGAAGATTAGAATTTAAGAGAACACAAAGAGCGGATGCACATGCGTCACTGTAAACGATTTTGAGCCATGTCATTCAGGGTCTCTAACCATCGGTTGCTATCATCTCGCGGTCCCCAACCAGGTAGTCTACACCGACCAACATGGCTCAGTCCACTTGTCAGTAACTTCATGGACATGTGCCGTGTCTTGGTCTGGCCACCCCTAGCTTTCTTCCAACTTGCTCCAACAGCATAAAACATCGCACTTTGGGACAGTCGGTTGTTGGGTATACGTAATACGTGTACCAGCCATCTCAACTGATGAAGTTTCACTACTTCAAGTGATCTGCCATCCTTACCTAGTACCTGTTTCCTAACAACTGAGTTACTTACTCGACAGTTCCAGGATATACGAGAAATGTTTCGAAGACACCTGTGATCGAATACTAGTAACACGTGAAAATCAGGCTGGCTTCAGACCTGGTCGTGTATGCATTGACCACATATTCACCATTCGTCAGGTTATAGAACACAGACATACTTATCGGCGTCCGACAATGGTGGTCTTCCTTGACTTGAAAGCAGCATTTGACTCTGTAGACCGAGAGGTTCTGTGGCAGTGTCTGTCATTGACAGGCGTACCTCAGAAGTACATAAACCTTGTGAAGGCTCTTTACTCGAACACTACTAGTCGAGTCAGAGCTTATCGCGAACTGTCATCTGCTTTTGCAACCTCAAGTGGTGTCCGTCAAGGCTGTCCACTTTCTCCATTTTTGTTTAACTTCATCATAGATCTACTGATGGAAATAACGCTCTCATCGACTGAATTCTCGGGCACTGATCTCCTACCAGGAGGTCCACTTATCGACTTAGAATACGCAGATGGTATAGTCCTGTTTGGTGAAGACGCTGATGAAATGCAGAGTCTTTTGGTAGCACTGAGCAACAATGCCAGAATCTTTGGAATGCGCTTCTCTTCCTCTAATTGCAAGTTGTTGCTTCAGGACTGGTCTGCGTCAACACCTGAACTAAGGATAGGGAGTGAAGTAGTCGAACGCGTCGACAACTTCACTTATCTTGGAAGTCTGATCAGCCCTAATGGGTTGGTGTTTGACTAAATCTCAGCACGGATTCAGAAAGCTCGTTTGGCTTTCGCCAACTTACGTCACCTATGACGAAGGCGAGATATCCGTCTATCAATTAAGGGACGAGTATACTGCGCGGCAGTTCGTTCCGTTTTACTATACGGCTGCGAAACATGGCCTTTGAGAGTAGAAGATACTCGTAAGCTACAAGTATTTGACCACAGATGCCTTAGAAATATTGCTGGGATCACCGGGTAAGTAATAGTGAGGTTAGACGCAGAGTATTAGGGAATGATGGTAAATCAGTTGATGAGGTTATGAATCTTCATCGACTGAGATGGTTGGGCTACGTGTTGCGTATGTCTGAACACCGATTACCACGACGCGCAATGCTAACCGGTGTTAGGGATGATTGGAAGAAAGTTAGGGGCGGCCAAACCAAAACGTGGCATCAGTGCTTGAAGTCACTAACTTTTGGTCTGAGCCATGTTGGTAGATGAAGACTACTTGGTTGGGGTCCGCGTGACTATCGTAGCCAATGGTTGGAGACTCTTGGTGACATGGCTCAGAATCGATCACAATGGCGTCGGTGTAAACACTCTCTGTCTTCCTTTAAACTATGAGATTAAAATCGCTTCATATCTTTCTTTCTAGGAACTAATTCTTTCTTCCTGTACTATCTCCTTATATGCAATCCTTCTTCTATATATTACCACCACTGAATTAACTACTTCTATGGATCCGGTGTTCATCTTGTTGTGCTAATGCGGTATGGCAACTTGGACCGATGCATATACGTGCCTGATCCTACGTTGCAGCTGACTGATTGACTAGTAACCTACGGATATCCTCTACTCTTACCGGCCATGTTTCACAGTCACCAAGTAGGACGGAACGAACTGCTGCACAGTTAACACGTCCTTTGGTTGTTAGACGGATATCTCGCCTACGACATAAATGACGCAAATTGGCAAAAGCTAGTTGAGCCTTCTGTATTCGTGCTGAGATTTTGTCACACGCCAGGCCACAATGGCTGATGAGACTACCATGATAAGTGAAGCGATCAACACGCTCAACTACTTCACTTCCTATGATTAGTCTAGGTGTCGATGCAACTCAATCCTGAAAAATTTTGCATTTCGAGGGAGAGAAGCGCATGCCGAACATGCTTGCATTGTTACTTGGAGTGGTCAGAAGACTCTGCATCTTGTCAGCGTCTTCACCAAATAATACTGTGTCATCGGCATATTCTAGGTCAAAAAGTGAATTTCCCGGCAGAAGCTCAACCCCTGGAAATTTAGATGACGAAAGTGTTATTTCTAAAAGGACGTCAACGACAAAGTTAAACAGGAATGGAGAGAGTGGACAGCCTTGACGAACACAACTTGAGGTAATCAATTCTGATGACAGTTCACCATAAGCCCTCACTCGACCTGTTGTGTTCGAGTAGAGAGCCTTTACAAGGTTAATGTACTTCTTTGGTACTCCTTTCAGTGTCGAACACTGCCACAATCAGTGATTGAGACCAGTCAGATGGGATTTCATCCAGTTCCCAAATTCTACCTAAGACCTCAGTTAATCTCACTGCTAATACTGGACCGCCATCCTTAAAAATCTCAGGAGTAAACCTGTCAGGGCCTGCTGCTCTCTCTCGCTTCAGATTTCCTATAGCTTTTTTAACTTCGTAAAGAGTCGGAGGACCTAAATTAATTTGCCATTCAGGTCGACTGAAGATCGTGGCAAACCGAAGTGTGGCTGAAGGCCAGTTGAACTGATCCCTAAAGTGTTCTGCCCATCGGTCCAATCTCCTGGATTGAGAATGTATAATATGTCCATCTTTTTCTGAGATAGTTTCGCTAACAGTCGGGTTCCTAATACCGATTTCCTTAACAAGTCTGAACAGTTGTCTGCTATTACCTATTGCCGCTGCCTTTTCCATCTCTCTTGCTTTGGCTATGTGCATCGATCTAAACTGTCACACCATTTCAACACAGAGATGAAATTATCAGGACAAATGCTAGAAACAGTAACAGTTTCAGTGGTAGTGAGAAAGATTAAACACAAACAATATGATTCTATGACAAAAATGAGACTTGATACCTAAAGGAAGTGATAGTTTCTGGGCCATTGTGACCGATTCTCGACCATGTCTTCTATTATTTCCAACAAGTGGTTACGATAATCGCGATTACACAATCTAGTGCCTAAATACATAGCTTAATATAACACCATTAAATATTACGAGGAAGAAACTCCCGAAACTTCTAAACCAAAGGTTTGGATGCTTTATGAATTCGATATTTCAGCAGTGTCAAAGTCCATAAAAGAATTACGATAACATGAAAGATCAGGGTTTAAAGGCAATCATGTGGCTTTTTTGAGACCTAAGACTAACTAAAATGCAATTCATTTATTAAATCTTCCAATAAATTTACAGTTTTTTACCCTTCCATTTTTGCCAACTTCATTTTGTAGTTGGTCATTGAGTTTCCGTTCACTTATACAGTTCAGAGTTACTAAACGGATACTTTCCATAAACGTTCACGTAATTTTAAACCCCATTCAGCTATTCTAGGAACGTGTATGGGACTTGAATTTGTTACATTCAAACTTTGCATTTTAACATAGATCAGACAACGAAAAGTTTTAGCTGGGTTTCTGAAAACCTTATACACTCGTATTCAACATCCCGGTGACAAACTAAGAAAAGTTGCTTATTGACTCAAAGTATTTACCTTGCGCCCATAATGGGACCGTGTGGCATAGGTAATCTGTTTCAATCGTGTGGACGTAGCACTCCGTAAATGAGCTTCTAATAACGGTTGTATGTACTGTTGAACTGAAATACTCATGTAGAGTAAGAATTTGGAGAGAAATGTTTACATCTGCTTATGGTCCCACATATTGCAAATTAGTCGTAGTCGAATATCATTTCTATTAACTTAGAAATCTCAACCAGATATGTTTGCTGAATAATGTAGAATAAGTAGTTGACGGCTAGGTGTCTGAACACTGAGGGACACTATCTAGATGACTAGGTCGAACTTCGCAGATTACAAAGACTGTGACATGTCCATGTTGTAATATACAAAACTAAACGGAGCACACTCGGATCAGTATAATATTATTTACTTAGAATGGTAAGAGGTTCTCTTAAAAAGAATATATTAAGGGCTCTAAAATGCTGATCTTCTGCGACACAACGAAATTTCTATTTTGGAGGATTACGACTGCTCTTTATATGAAAATAAACATGAAGACTAGATGGCTACGTCATCAATCAAAGGTCGATGACGGCAAATTCACATTTGTAAGGTTTACTTATTGCTTAGTTATTTGCATGGAATATCAGCAATCCTTTCTTACGTCCTCAAATTAAACCAATTTGTATCTATTTTATTTTTATTCACTTGTGAAATTAGAGCTTTTCTTTATGGAAGCGGGAGAATGAAAAGTATTTTTCCGTTTACCTGACAGCATTGTTTATATTTTAAGAAGATTGCTCGGCGAAGACATAAATTTGCTCTGCAGGCAACTGTGAAATACGTAAAACAAAGCTTATTATGGTTTCTTCGTTATTTTTGTTCCTTTATAGACACCTTTATAAGCATACAGCAAGCAACCAAGCGGGATACATATTTTGACTTAAAATCAATATTATCCATCGAATTTATGTTGACAATATTATGATAAGTTCTCGCAGGTATCTTACGTTACTCTGCATGGACGTTAATGGGGAACTCGTCCACTTGTTTAATAACGCAATCTAGAATCGTTCGTATTCTGCCTTGAATATGAGCTTGATAGACTATTCCCATCAGAAGTTGTAGGTGTGCCCTCTTTGAACAGTTTATCCAGATGATTACTAAACTTCAGCCTGCTTTAATAAAAACTGCACATTGTTGCAAAGCTTAAGTACTTGACATATTGTGACCCATCACCCTAAAATGATAAAAACTTTAGTATTTTTCAAGACGCAGAATTCGAGGAGTAATTACTCCGTTAATTCTGCCTAAAAAAGTCTAAAGCTTTATAAAACTACTGATATACAAACGAGCTTAAATCTAAGAAAACTTCTGCTTCGGTTTGGGTACCCGGACAGTATCGCAGCCCTCACACAAACCGAACGATTTATGTGGCGCATATTTATTTGGTGCCTCTTTTACCAATGCTTACGTGTTTAAATTAATAATAAATAATAAACTAAGAAAATTAGTCAAGTCACTAGCCTCTTGCTTATTCATTTATGAGAAAGTTAGAAGAGCTCTTACCTCAACATTGGCTGTTATTAAATTTGGAATCCAACTGAGTACACTACTTGATTCTGAATTATCAACGCTCTGCGAATTGGGCACAGAATTAAGTGTTCGTGGTCCATCGGAACTAACGTTATCTCTAAGTCGTGGGCATAATAACATCGACACTTACTCATCTTTACATCCTTCCTCAAGAACTTCCGGAGTATCACCAGAAGTTAGACTCTTGTCTGAACCAGGTGGTTCAGTTAGATTGCTAAAAATGCATAAATATAAGGATTACATTATCATAGTTTACTTCAATAGGTCTACAACACCTTTGAGATATCCTTTTAACATGTTCTAATGTGTTTTAGATAGTTTTTGAGTACTAATTAAACTGAACCAATACAATAACGATACTAAACAGAGGGTCCTTTCAAACAGTATTAGTGTGCGTTTAAAAAAAGCGGGGTCCTAGTACTTTGCACTTGCATATTTATTAGATCAAAGGTGAAATTAGACTACTTTAACTTGAATTATTTTGGTTAACGTTCAGAGATTTCTTCTGATCCGTCTTGCAGTACTCTTTTTTATTTTATTTTGTAACTAGTGATTAGATCATGTATTTTTATTGATTTTTTTGCCTTTTCAATATATTCACAATGGTCAACAGCACTTATAAATGGAGACAGTCAAATTATTTTTCCATGTAAGTGGAAGAATGCAACGTGACGGGTGCAAAAATTGGTTCCACAAGAGGCATACTCGTATATGTCCTACTGCACATAAAACATTTTCCAAGTCTAGCTCCCACTGACTTTGTGTATAAAGCTGTAAATAAATCCCCAAATTCAATAGCTCCGTAAGTCTTCAACATTATATGCTGACTGCATTGGTTATACTGGACACTCTAGCTGACGGCACTCGATCACGCATCCGTACCAGATCACGAGGGTGTATGTCATGCTACTCATCCCTACCAGCTATTTGCCACCTTAGACCAAAAGTTCCTTGATGTACTCTTAGCCCACCAAATATATCTTTGCACTCCTTCATTTCTGACTTCTGATTTGACTGGGTCGGCATACTCCAATTGTAAGGGTGTAAGTGGTCAAGTTATCAAACTTCGAATACTTTTAGCATCTTTATTTGCTTTGCTAGTGGAGTAAGACATTACTGACCCAGAAAGCTTTGTTTCTGCGGTCACCAAGGCAGTTGTAGAGCCTGGATACAACGAAGGGGTAATCCACTCTATATACTCACCAGGAGGTGTAACTTTTACATCAGCTGGCTGGTAATGGTTTTTCCCTCTAACTCGAATAAGCCCACAGTTGTTCGACACAGATCATCGACGTTGGTGATATTCAGTACGGACGAAACTATTGAACCTCGACCACATAGACTCTTGAATGTAGTCCTAGAGTCGGAGGAACAACGAGATCTTTTATTAGATAGTGCTTGAAGTTAAGATAATACAGACATTCGAGTAAGACCTGATGTATCTTTAAAAGACAGAATAAAAAAGCCACACTAACTAAATTAGAAATGATTGAGAAAATCTCCGCTTAGTGGGTTTTGGAGTAGTCAGGTATTGAAAGAGGATACTACCAAAACCTCTATGGATAGGTTTTTCTCTGTAGGGGTCTTATAAATGAATGCATTAGTGAGTGGATTAAAACCACTGATCATAGTTGTGGCAGAAACTTGGTTAGTCCATATCTTCGATGTTACACCAGAATAAGCCGGATACCACTACCTATGAAGTGATAGAATCAGGGGTAGAAAATAGGGTGGCGTCCATATATACATAGCTAATAATATAAGTGTCTGCTCATATGCTTGTGAATCCCATAATAGTGAAACTTTAGAAGTCATTATTTGTGAACTCTTTATCGAATGTTGTACATTCATACTCATTGTCATCTATCTTAGCCCAATCTGCTTAGCTGATGACATTATTTTAGAGCACATTCAGTTACGGAGTAAAAATAGCAGATGCCTGAGACTAGGAGATTTTAACACACCTGATATTAGTTGAACTGATATGGCCACTGTAGACCCTGTGAACTCCTTTGACAGTAAGTTCTTGATAACGAAACGGAATATCTTTTAGTGTGGTACGTATCCGAACCCACACGTGCTGTTTTGAACCAAGGATCTTCCTTGTTAGACTTAATAATCACTCATTCGGCTGAGGATATTGCTGATCTAAATATTCTCTCACCTTTAGCAAGTAGTTATCATGCAGTTTTCTCATTCATTTTCAGAGCTTGTGACATAATATACAATCAGGTCAAACCTATCACAAGTTTATGGGTAGCAAACATAGCAGCCGTACAAGAGTGTGCTGCAACAACAGACTGGTCAGTGAATACTAGCTCATCGATTGAAGAAGCACGGTTTACATTTAAAAGGACGCGGGTTAGTTACGTCCTCGTTTATACCATAATTAATATCGCACAGAATTAATAACGTTCTACCATGGGTAACTAAAGGTGTCAAGAAACTTCTTAGGCGTAAGAAAAATCATTACAAAATATGCTCATCTGTACAGGCTTAGGACAGCACAGACCCGTTACTGTAAGACTAGGAATGCTTAAAAAGCGTTGATAATTAAGACTAGATATTCATATGAAAATAAGTGACTAGGGACTGTGAAAATAGTCTGAAAAGTATATTCTCGTTTACAAAGAGGAGAACTTAGGGTAGTAATGGAATCTCACTGTTTTTGGCACAAGAAAATCGGTTGATATTGGCAAGATATGATGCCGAAAAAGCTGAAGCTTTATCGAAATATTTTAGTGAAGTATTTTTTATTTGAAATGATGAACAACCAACAATTAATCGCAATCAGGGCGGCTTATGAATAGATCCTGTAGTTATTGAGGAAGGAACTGTCATAAGATTACTTCAACATCTGAAACCAGATAGGTCCAGTGTTCCTGACGATATTCATCCTGGGATTATAAAAGCCCTGTCGAATGTAATTGTTGAATCTATGAACGTATTGTTCGATATGTCTTTGCTGCAGTCCCGGCTGCCAAAAGACTGAAAAGACGTAATAATCAATCTGGTGTATAAGGCGGGAAGCAGAGACTTAGCAACTATCGATCCGTTAGTCTGACTACTGTAGTTGTCAAACTAATGAAAAAGTTTATTCGGATGAGTATTCTAGACTGTGTGGTGGGATTTGATCGTTTAGACGGGGAACAACATGGTTTGACTAAACGACTTTTATGCTTGACAAATCTCATTGCTAGAGAAGACTGAACTACAACGAAATACAGTAATATCCCGGTAGATGTAATTTTCATAGACCCAAGTAAAGCCTTTGACAAGGTCTCTCACCTCGATCTTAGAATAATTAGTTGATTTTAAAATATAAATATTTGTATAAAACTGGAAAATTTTGAGATCCAGTATGAAACCCCAGACTGGACAAGTGACTTTCTCAATTATAGGAGATAGCTGGTAAAGATAAATTGAGCTCTCTCAGAGTGGGAATATGTTAAAAGCGGAGTTCTCCAAGGTACAATCCTTGTTTCTCTTCTTTTTATTTTATGTAAATGAATAACTAACTGCTTCAAAGTCAACTGTTCTACTTCATGCCGATGACATAAAGATTTGGAGAATCATACATAGTGGGTCAGACAAAATAATATTACAGGATGACCTAGATTCATGTGTTCAATTGATGTGTAGTTGGTCGTAAGAAGTTAACTCTAGCCAAAATGTAGTGATTCAAACAAATAACTGTGACGATACATATCACCACACTATATGTGTCGTGTTACCTAATGTAATGGACTATAATTATCTAGGAGTCATGATAAATAGTAGTTTTGAAATCATGGGTAAATGTAAAGCTGCTGCCGCTAAAGGCTCAGGGGTCTTATGAACTATTCATAAGTCATTTCATTACTTGGACGAAGAAATTTTGGGTGTATTCCACCCGACTTTCGTGAGGCCGCATTTGTAATACGGTATTTAAACAGCGGGTCCCTGTTTCAGGTATGAGGAGGATATATAAGGACGATTTCAATGATGATGGACACTTGTAATTTATTCCTCTTGATGTGGGCCAATACAAATACTGTGTTCCGTTCGGTGTTTCATAACAATCGCTAGTTGAATGTGCCTCAAGACGTTCATTCTTTTATTATCTGTACTGCTTCTATCGAACAAAGTAAATTGAATTAAGCTCTTTACAGTTCCTCATCCGGGAGGAACGTGATGAGTAGATAGTGTCCTTGGGTTTTATGTCCTAAATATTAAAGAGTAAATTATTAAACCTGAAAGCTGATTTTTCATAATATCGAGATTTGTTTATCACTAAACTAGGATTCTGCAGGCTGGGATGTTTTCCAGTCAGTTTTTCACTGTTACCACTATCAATTGTGTTCGTTCCAGTTCCTCAGAGCTATTAACGTTGACAACAAAACTTTTAATCACCGTCAATTTGTGTACCATTATGTCACAAGTGCGTCCTGAATTGTGGAAAGTCAAACTTCTGGTAACCGAATTAAGCTGGACTGTATATCTATAAATGTAGCATATATGGTTACAATTTAAGGCGATCATGAACAACTTGACTGATTTTAAATATTTCGCATTTCACAACATCAAGCTCAGAGATTTAAACACATAACGACATTGAAGTAAACAACTTGGTCACTAAGCTGTTAAGGACAAAGACAACCTTGTTAACATTCTTTCAATGCATGTATTCATAATCGAACAAAGAAAATGATAATGCCTGTTCGATGAGAATGTCTACAAAGAGTGTACCAGAAAAATGCTATTATGTTTACTTTGATTTATTACGCTGATACGCATACTGGAAAAAATATATATCATTAAATCTTGTTTTTAGTGATTACACTGGTGTAAGTTTGACTGCAGAAGTGGTAGTTATTTGATTCTTATTGGATAAGGCTGAATTTGGTTTGATATATTGCAGTGTCAACTGTTAGTGAGACGTCGTTGTATTGTCATAAAATGAAGCTTGACGGATGGCAAGCAAATATACGAAATAAGTGTTTTCTTGTGATTAGATAATCGCTACGGTGAAATACCGACACCAGTCGCGTGATTAGAACATGTTTACAATTGGCGCAGTTTCAACGCGTGATAAGTTTCTGCGTTACCTCGTATCATTACACAAATTTACTTTATATTTGATTGTTAATTCGACCGATAATACTTGTTTCTTCTGCAATAACGTCCATTTGACACAAAAATATTTTTATAACCCTCGATTTCAATTCGTCTAACGTTTTAACGGTTGGGTTTTCCAACGTTTACAGGTATGAGATGTTAATTTACCTTAAATGAATATCTACTCTAGATTACCTTTC